GGTCTGACTTCCTGCAGAATACAGGCCACTGAACTACCCAGTAGCTCCTGTATAGAGCCCAATAACTTGTAGGACAGAACTTATCTGTTTGGACACTCACAGTGGCATGGTGCAGAGTTAGAATTTCAATTTAGAGATGCAATCAGGGAGGCAAGGATGAATGAGCCTTATGCTTTTGATCCAGTGCAGGCAGAAGAACTGGAAACAGATGAGCTCTCTGTGCAGAGACAGACAGAGAACACATAGTGCAAAGCAGAAACACTAAATACATCTGAGGTCTTGGGAGGAAAACTTCAGCAGGCAGCAGTGTGTGTGGTGGGGAGAAAGCAGCAGAGGGATGCTGTGTATTTGCGTGGAGAGAGGATGGTGTAATAGCAGGAACCCAGGAGTCCGAGCTCCTGGCCTCCTCTGCTATAAATACTAGAGAACTCCCACTGGATGCAGGAATGGAACAAAAGAGTCCTGACCACCAGACCCCTGTTCTAACCACTAGATAATTGTTCCCCACAGCACTCCCCACAGAACCCAGCAGTCGCCACTCTATCCCATTCAAACACAATCCCTCCAGATAGTGGCAGCAGAATCCAATAGTCCTGATACACTTGCTCCAGACACTATATTGCTCCAAACACTATATAGCTCTCCATCACTGTGCTTGGAACAGAATCAAGGAATCCTGACTCCTACTTCCCCCCACATCCCAGGCTCTAACTACTAGATCACACTCCCCAAGGGCTGGCAATAAAACCTAGGATTGGGCCTAGGTAGGTTTGTAAACTCTGTCAGATGAACAGCTGTACCTAAGAGTTTATAAGCTCTGCTGGCACGTACAAGAGGCCCTGTATATTAGCAGCCATCCCATGCCAACGGTTCACTGTACCGCTGATGAGCGCTCACTCTCCTCTCAGCCCAGACACACAGACAGATGGTAATTAGTGTCAGCCCTTTCCATGGGGCTGTTCCTCTGTCCTGGTGTAGATGGCGACAAGATAGAGTATCAGA